TCCGACTAAGGCTTCTGCTAATTCTGGTGACAAGGTGGTCCGAATAGATGTGTTACTAATGAAAAGCATGAAACACACTGCTTGTGAAAACCACCACTGGGGCAACAGTGGTCACCAGCAGCCACAGCCCCTGTGCAGCCCCACAGCCCTATATTGAGATGCCCAGCCCTAGTGCCTGGAGGAGGTGGAAGAAGTAAGCAATTAGAGCATCTGCTTTTCCAGGATGGAGCCTGAGTTTGTCAAGAATGAGGAAGAGCTTCAGAGACATGGCCAAACACAGCAGCCAACTGCCCCCGGCCTGGGCAGCATGCCACAGAGAGCCTCTGGCACATCCCACAGCAGTGGGACGTAGACTCTTAGCAGGTTTGGCTGAGTGATGTTCACAGGCAGAAGCATCCTAACTGCAACTGTAAAAAACTTGAGGATGCACATTCTTTAAGGAGACTTGACTCTCAGACACCTCAGGATAGACTTTCATACACCACCAGCTCTAGATGCACCATCAGCAGCGAAGTATTTTAGTTCCTTTGATTTGCTACCATCTAGTTAAATTAGCACCTGGAGATGAAGAAAGGAGGGCCCTGTAACATACTGGGAGTGATTTAATCTCAACAAAATGCTTTTCCGGGCCAGGAATGCAGGGGTACCTTAGTCAAGGCAAGGAAGCTATCTTTGCCAGGAAAGGCTGCTCTGCTAGTAAACAACATAGAGATGGATAGAGGTGTTATTACTGGGCAATTGCAGCAAAAATGTGTGCATAGAGAGGAAGTTCTTTTCATGGTTGACATAGGTAACACACATTTTTTTTCAGGTTGGCCTGTAGAAATGGCCTTTTTCAACTATCATAAAAGTAATTTGATTGTCCTGAAGATATTTGAAAATCTTGTCTGATCTTTGTAAGAAGGTTTGTGGAATAGCATGTAGTGCAGTTGCACTGAAATAGGTAATGGCACCAGCACACTCTGGCACACAGTTTTTTCTGCTTCCTCCTCACAACTTTTCACCCAGCATGAAAAAGGTCACCTACTCATAAGACCAGATGGAAGACATTCCACATTTCATATCTAAAAGAAACAGCTGAGTACTTGCTTGGAGGACAGCTACTTTTTGGTGATAATATAGTTTTCATATACACAAACCAAATATGATTTTCAGGATATCTCCATTATTTTTCTGTTAGTATATGATTGCTTTGGAATAAATACCAATCTAAAAAGAGAACAATCAAGTCGCAGAATGTGTTGGCTGCTTCTGAAGGTTCAAGAATAAATTCTCCTCTCTGGATCACTGTTGCTAGATGACTGCTCTCTGTTTTGGGAAGGCAGCTACAGTATTGTGTTACCTGATCTAAAACAAGGAGGTAACACTGAAAACAAACAAACAAATAGCATTCACCCAGCACCCATTTGACAGTACTATTGTGGAATTGTGTGACTGGTGTAGTCTACAGTAGGTGGAGTGGTGAATGTTCATAACATTGATATCACAAGCTTGAAAGATGTTGCTGGCAATAGCCCATGCTGGAAGAGTCTGACAGATAAAGAAGCCTAAAAGGCTGAAGAAAGATACTGAGAGAAAAGCAAGTTTAAAAAAAGGTCAAGAAGAATAACCATCCTCTGGTCTTATGAACTCTTGTCTCATGAAGGATTACTGTTGCTTTGAAGCTCCACAGCCACTTGTGATGGGACAGGATGTGTTATACAGCTAAAGAAGTGGAGCAATTTGCAGCAGTGATTCTCAAGATGGATGCATGCCACACATACCTACATAACTTTAAAGAGGGCTCAAATAGACCTACAGAGGCACAAATCTTCCAGGAATGCAGACAGCATGCATCACCACAGTGATCATGACAGAGAAATTTCTGTTTTCAAATCCATGCTCATCCAGGGGGAGAAAGTTGGGATAAATTACATGACAGAGGAATTCTTTACTTCCACCAACAGAGTAACTTTGGTGCCATGTTATTCTTTTTTATGGGAAGTGTTGGAAAATAGGGAGACTAGGAGGCCTGCTCTACATTAGGTAGAGCTGCTGTTTGGAATATCCCAGTAAAACTTAATTTCCATGGGACTTCAGAAAAACTAGCACTGTACACCCTGCACTGGCATTGCAGAGTGCTATACTGCATGCAGCTGGCTGTACACACATGGGCACAATTTGGGAAGCACCAAACTGAAGACAAGCTGACAAATTGACAATCAACAAAACAGTCACAGAGTGACTACATGAGTCTTGATTTTATCAAAAGCAAAGCTACAGTATGACAGTGCTAAATGGTTGTAGCATGTCACTATTAGCCCCAGGGTAGGATGCTGCATGGGGTCTTGCACCATTGAAGTCTTCCACCATTGTGTTGGAAACCTCTCCTTATGTGGTACACCATTACATAGCAGCAGCTTTTTTTTGCTTGTTAAAGAGATCATAATAGATGCTAAGTAAGCAGAATAACAGAACTTATGTTCTTTGTTTTATACATGCATGACTGCTATTTTCTTTGTCTCTATAACTAGACCCTAGTACAACATGTTATAGTTGTCACAGTTGCTATTTAAATACATTTATTTTGATTAAAATGTTCCTGGAATTAATTAAAATAGCAAATCCTCCTGGGAGCAGAAGAACTAGCAAGGCCTGATCACCAGGTGATTTCTACTCTCCCTGTTGTCTTTGCCACCCACACTGGCAGGTGCCAGGGCTGCCAGGACGGCTGACGTCTGGCTGCTGCCTTTTCCTCAAGTAGGTAGCTGGTGGCATCTGCCACTCCTCTAGCCCAAGTACAGGTCCTGGTTTCTGTAGCTTCCATGAAGTCACTGATTTTTTTTTAATTTTAATTTTTTTGTGTGAAACTTCAGTAATTCTTTTTGTGAAACCTGTATCTCTGAGAACTGATTTCCCCATGCCAGATGGGAAAAATCTGGCTAACATATTAGAAACTCATTACATGGTAATCAGAAGGAAGGTGATCAGATGGCAGAAACCATGTAACAGTCATTAAGGAAAACTTCAACCCATCTTTTCTCCTATCTGAAGATCTCAAACTGTTTTGCGAATTTTGAATCTGTTGGTTCTCACGCAAGCTAGTTGTCAGAGGAAGCATAGCTGGAGCTGATCCAGGAGCTGGCAGCACCTTGCTCAATCTCTGAAGATAAATGCTTGCAAGAATTTCCTCCATGTTTATGCAGATCCTAAGGAATAATGAGTTTCTGCCTTCTAGGGCTAATGCTGAGATGTCTAAGCTCATTCCTAACGTGTGAGTGTGGTGATTCACCTTTGCTAATTACCCAGCTGAGAAAAAGGGTTAATTAACTGGGTGTAGAACTGTATTAATGTGGCTATACAGTTTCTGAAGTGTGAACCAGTGTCCTTGAATGGGGTAGCTCTGAGGACATACCCTTCCCTCAGTTGTTTGCAAATTTTGCGGCTTCTGTTAGGCTTTTTCTCCTTTGATAACACTTGAAATAGAAGGTGGATGTATGTCAGGTTGAATTTCCTCAAGAAACACTAAAAAAGAAAAAACCCAAAGAATTCTTGAGGCATTTATATGCGGGGTGCAAGCAGGAATACCTTTTAAGAAAAAGATTTTAACATAACATGATGTGTTAGAGGAGAGAAGAGAGGATTTCAATCACATATTTAAAAAGTAATTTGTTGTGGCGAAGGAGACATAATTGTCTTTCCATCTGAAAATAACGCCTTCTTTGCTCTGTTGTCTTAAAAAAGATAAAAATTGGCCACATCGCATGCATTGTTTTAAATGAGGTTCTTCCAGCTTCTCTTTATCTGCCCTAACATCTATTTTGTGTGCTTGTTTATGGTTATTCTAGGAAGCCTCTGAAGTGCTATAGAAATACAAGGATGCTCCTAAATGAGAGGAAATTGGTTGATAAAAATAGCAGTTGTCAAAAAGAATGATTTGGAGGGCTCTGCTGCAACCACTTATGCAGGTGGAAAAAGTTTCTAGGAGTGTGAGGAAATGACTATGTGTCACAGCCACAGGAAATGCTGATTTATTTATTGGTTTTGTCACAATAGCCTTTTGCAGATAGCTCTGAGCCAGAGACAGGTTTATGGAATGAGCCAGCAGGAAATTGTCTTCCTTAGAAGAAGGAAATCACATTTATCTTCTAATAATAAATAGGAAGAGGTCCCTGCAGTCACAAAATCTGGAGAGACTTGTTTTATAGAAGGTTAAGGCTGAGACACTCAAAGGGAACAAAGGAAGTTAAGCCTTTTCAATCTTAAGATTTCTTAGGAGGAAGGTAGTGTTCTTTAGTTTTTCCCCAAAGACAAACTATTCTTAGCTCTTCATCCTCTAAATTCTCTGGAAACTATTCTCAGCCATTGGTTTATATCATTGTTATGGTAAAGTTCAGATTATTATTACTGGTTTTCTTATACAATTGTAAATAGAAAACCAATCTATGTTTTCAAAGAATAAGGCAAAAGTACCTCTTAAAGAGCAGTACTTAAGGTCTATCTCAAGGGAGTCCATAACAACAGATATTCTCCACAGCACTTTCTTCAATGCAATGGGACCTCATGGGTGGTTACTAAGGGGATTGACTGTAACTTTGAGTAAGACTGATGGTATTTTGACAACTCCACCATGGTGCTCACCAGTGCATTTACTCTGTGCAAGAGACTTACTGTAGCTATGCTATAGAGCTAAACTCAGCAGTTTCAGAGCAAGATAGTTTGCAAGCATCTCACAGGCTGTATGAGTTATCAGGGATTTATCCCTTTCTTGTCTGCTCTGATGAGCAATCCAGACTCTTAGAGCACCAAAGCAAAAAGACAGTGAAATGTATAAAACGTTTAGACTTGTTTAACAGGAGAAGCTGATGCTGCAGATTTTCATCTGCAGAACTGTGAAATAGTTGACCCAAATTTTACCAAGTGTATTATTGTTTTGAAGCACACAGTTATTTTGCACATTTGATACTTTTTCCCATCAAAGCCTTATTCAGACTCCATTTTGTACTGTTCATCTCCAGATAGAATCCTCTCCCTGCTACCTGTTGACTGTAAGGATCATCCGGATGAGAAATCTCCAACGAGTGGATGTCTGTAAGTTTCTCCATTCTTAGTGGCATTCCAGGGTCCAGGCAACATTACATCTTTTATAATTGTATAGCAACATTTTCCTAGTGTTTCTGAAATAACCCAGTGTTTATGTAAATTAGTTGTTATAAATGTTATACATCAGGCCAGTCCTTGTTGCTGTTTCATTGAGTGTTATGCCTGTGCTTTCTGACTGGTTTCAAGACTTGAATGTGTTTTTGAGGATAAGTACTTTCTCTCAAAGAAACTAGAGTTTCTGACATAGGTAGATGAAAAAGACAACATCCCACATTTTCAAAAGCAAGGTGTAATTCTGCTGATGGGTTGTAGCACCCTGGGAAATGTGGCTGGGAGGAGCAAACATTTTCATCCCACTCAATCTTGATTTTAACAAAGATGAACAGCAAAAAGCTTTCTACAATTATTACCACCAAGCTAATGCCAATATTAGTTACTCTGAAACGACAGTCAAAATACATGCTGACTGAGAGCTGGAAGCCTTGTCCCTTCTAACGTTCATGCAGCAGTCTTGCAGTTGTGTAAGAGTGTGACTCACATGGCAGGAAAGTTGTGAGAAGTCAGGAAGCAGGAAAGGAAAACACCAATGCTTTGTTAAAGAATATGGACTATCCACATGTGCCTGGGAGAGGCATTTCACACAAAAATAAACAAGTTAATAGTTCTCTTTCTTTGAGTGAATACAGCTATGTGACCACCTGTGAAAGCTGAAAATTAGCTCTAGAGTGAGAAGGGAAGTGGTGCAACCCTCTTAATTATCTTGATTCTCCTGTTTCACTGTAAGCAGCAGTAATTAGACTACAGCCTCTTACGCAGGAAGAGTAAGGGAAGATGTTCTGAAAGACGAAGGTCTGGATTTACCACGCAGTACCATTTTCATCTTACCCTGTGGTTGTCACATGCTTTTCTGGAAGGTGTATCAGAGAATTTCACCATGTCACAGCTCTGCGTGATACCTGCCGTATCTTAGGTCATATAATTGGGTTGCGCTCTCTGCAGCCTGCGCCTCTCTCTGGCCCATGGCTGTGGCACATGTGTGATGATGCAATAACATACACAGGTATCATCAGGGACTCATCTCAGATCTTCTGCATGTCAGGCAACAAGACAAATAATGAGGTTGTAGAACAAGACTGCGCAAGCAGAACTGAGGCAATATTTTTCATTAAATACACAGCTGACTAGCTTGGCTGCATCTACTGATATAATTAAGGATTATTTGATATACTTTGTGTCTCAAAGTACAGTTAAGATACAAGAATGCCAAATCACATCAATAGAATAGCGTACTTTATCAGCCGAATGGCTAACAGTCATTGATCTCCAATGATATATCTAAAGTCATGTAGAAGTTATATAAAACTGCTTTTAATGCACTTTAAATTCAGTATCATTAGTTCTAAGTTCTCCAAATATATTCAAATAGTTTCAAAATTCTTCAAAGTATTATTATCTGCATAGAATTTCTCAGATTGAAAATAAATAAATAATAACACTTGAGGAAACAGAGTAACAAAAGGAGTTGCAGAAAGGGACCAAATATGATGACAGATCTGAAACAACTTTTACATTCCATGGGACTAAATAGGCTACAGTCCTTAGGAGTGGAAGTGAAATTATTGAGGAGGACATGAAAGCTGTCTCTACACAAAGGAATAGGGGAAGAAGATGAATAGGGAGTCACTTTTCACTGTTGTTTGCAATGTGAAAATAAATGTGAGCATCTAATAAAAGTATCAAACAGGAAGTTTAAAATGAATGAAAGGAATATACAAGTAAATTATGGAACTCACATAAAGAAGCCTAATAATTTTTCTTCTGTCTCATCCTTGGATAAAAGCTAAACTCTTCCAAGTAAGACTTCCCATTCCAAGAGAGAAATGCTTCCTGGATATGCGTAGACTGAATTTTTGAATTTCACAAGTAGCAGGCAGTTACAAGTGGTGTCTTAATACAGGAGGGCAGCCTTAAATCTTGTTCTTAAATCATTTATACTGTCTATAAATGTCTCTATAAATGTCTATATACAGATGTCTATATATGTCTATACAGATGTTTATATGTACATTTATACTGTGTATAACCTGTCTATAAATAAAATACAGATGCAAGAAGAAGGTGCAGGTGAGACACTATGTTCCTCCTTCAGAGAGATATTGATGTGCCTAAGCAAGGCAAAATGTGTAAGGCAACCAGACTGGTCAAGCTGACTAGTCCTGGCCCTTACTGGGGAGATATTTGGTATAAGCAGCCAGTGTTTTCAGTGTTAACAGTCAGTCTCCTGGCAACCTGCAGCAACATATGTGATCCATGCACTGCAGTGTTTTTGTGTTGTTTATGAGTAGAATAGACTGTTTCAGTTGAAAGCGACCTACAAACACCATCTAATCAAACTGCCTGACCAAGTTCAAGCATGCTATTAAGGGTATTGTCCAAATACCTCTTCAACACTGACAGGCTTGGGGTATCAACTACCCCTCTAGGAAGCCTGTTCCAGTGTTTGACTACCCTCTCTGTAAAGAAATGTTTCCTAATTTCCAGTCTAAATCTCCCCTGGTGCAGCTTTGAACCATTTCCTTACATCCTGTCACTGGATCCCAGGGAGGAGCTTGGCACCTGCCCCTCAGTGTCCTTTCCTCAGAAAGCTGTAGAGAACAATGAAGTCACCCCTCAGCCTCATTTTCTCCGACCTAGATAAGACCAAAGTCCTCAGACGCCCCACACAGGACATTCCTTCCAGACCCTTCACCAACTTTGTTGCCCTGCTCTGAACATTCAAGGACCTTCACCTCTTCTTTATATTATGGAGCTTTTGATACTGCTTACTGTTTATCTGTACCATGGGAATGGTAAAGACCTCTCTGTGTCTCCTAGAACTTAGTGCAAAGTGGGCATGGGTGTCTGAAGTGAAACAACATTCCTGGGAGTCACAATTCCCAGTCATCAGTTTGCAAAGTCCACCATGTCACCTGTGTGAGGGAAACAGATGCTATTGGGGCAATTACTGTTGTTTCCACCTTTGGGCTTGAACACAACCCCCTTTAGGGATTTTGTTCTGAAAGGAAAGGAAAAGAAAGGGAAGAGGAGAAGCGAATAAAAAATGTGGTGGGTTTTTTGTTTGTTTGTTTCTGCATTATAACTTCTAAAAACAGAAAACCAGTCATTATGGTGTCTATTGACCTGTCACAATGCTTTACATAATTTCTCAAGCAGTTCTTAATTTCAGTTCTTCCCTCTGACTTGGACAGAAAAGCAGCGAGTCTTGATTAAATGCACTTTCAACAGCCTCCAACCAGTTTGAGACAGTCAGTGGCCATAGGGTGACACCTGGCAAAACCTGGTGGAGGAGGAAAGAAAAGGAGAAGGAAATAAAAAGATCCTGTTGCAGACAGACAAGTTTTTGCCTTTCCACACAAGTCGGTGCAAGTTCCTGTTCCCTTCTCTGCCTGCAGAGTCCTTACCTGCTGCTGGAGGGTCTTTTCCATTTACTGCTGCTATCAAAAGCCTCATATCAAGGGACATCCATTCTCAAAGCAAGTTACCTTTTACATTATACAGTCTCAGATAATTTTATTGTTAAGAATTGTGTAAGAGAAGTTTTCAAGGTGCTGAAGTGCTTTGCATAACCTGTCAAAGAAACATTGCATTCCACCACACAGTGCATAGCATTTTTGTCTGTAGTTGTTTGAGATGTACTGTAATTCAGGTGTCTTTGAGAACTGGGATGTAAAATCCTTCACTAACCTTCTCCTGGCGCATTTTGGAATGAGACTTGGTCCATTTCTTCCTGGAGGTGGCAATTAGTTAGCATCCAATGTCTAATTCAATGAGCTCCTTCTGGAGAAAGCCTCTGCCATCTCCTACAGCAGAGGTAGTTCTGCATCTGCTTTCACAAACCCTCATCAAGAAAATCACTGAAGACAAGGCAGAGATGGAAACCTTTTGCAGTTGTTCTTAAAAGATGGAGGAGAGTCTCAGGCCACTCTCATCAGACATCGGCTAAGTATCATTGCGTATGTGCATGTATGCTTGCATGCACACCTGAGCACAGGAAAGCTTGTTGGCTGAGAAACTGAAGTGGGTGATTAGAAGAGGAAATTCTCACCCCTTTATACACAATATCTCTGTTGTCTGTAACTCATGCAAGGAAGAATAGAAACAACCTTCTGTTCTAGGGCATCTCGTGTCTGTGCTTTTTCCATCTCAGAAGGAAATCTTGAAAAGAATGACGTTATATCAGGCATTTCTCTCCTTAAATAACTCATGCTTGCTGTTGGTACCATACAGTAACCTTTCCAGTGTCATGCAGCACCACTGACTTTGCCACATTAAAAATTGTTTTGCGTCTTTCCTTACCCAGTAAGCCAGGCTGATTGCTACGTGTCATTGTGGCTGCCAACTGCAACATGTGAAAAATCACGCACTAAAACTGTGAGAAATTCCAACAATCCAGTGTGGAATGAAACCTTCTACTTCAGAATCCAGAGTCAGGTCAAGGTAAGCAGCAAAAGTTGTCTGCTGGAAGCAGCCTGAAGATTTTGTGTATGTATCTCCTGAACTGTTCCCAGGAATTGTTTAAGGCATGGCACATAAGGAACTGTTCAAAGTGTTAAACAGCAGAGATGACTGACCTCCCATATATGTGCATTGGTACTGCTTAGGAGGGCAAGAAACTGAGCTCAGAATTGAAGTTTAATGGAAAATAAAGACTCTTATTAGTCAGTGCAAGACAGATTCAGAATTTAGGAGTTAACTAAGATGTCATATATGTATAACCAATGTATTATGTTACAGCAATTAAAATGAACTAGGGAAGAAAGAATATTCAATTTACAGTATGTTTTTCCAAAGGGGGATGATATTTAAATTCACAGCTTTTCTTTTCAAGCACAACACTCCTTCTTGTTTAGAGCTAATGATGTCCAGACTGCAGAAACTATGAAAAACTACTCTCCCTCTTTTTCCAGAACGTGCTGGAGCTGACAGTGTATGATGAGGATTTTGCTACTCCAGATGACCATCTTCTCTGTGCGCTCTTTGATACTGCTAAACTTCCAATTGAAAGAACAGTGCTCCTGTATTTTAAGCCTAGCCCAAATGTGAGAGCAAAAAATAAAGCAACTAAGAAACCAGTGGAGAGTTATAGAACACTATAAATATCTGTCTGAGTCTGCCATGGATGGCTCATCCCAATAATGAGTATATGAATTGCCATTCAAAATATAAGTACATAAAATGTACTGGATTTGAGAGACTGAACCCCTCTTCCCAGTATCTTTATAAATTATTAAAGACCATATGACTGAAACAGTGTGGTAGGTAGGGGAGGGATCTGATGGTGAGCTACCTCTGAGCAACACCAATACAGCTGTTGCAAGGTGAATAATCTGTAATTTCTTTTTCCATGTAATTCATAGCCACTAACCCCTGCCCCTTTGATTGTATCTACTTTCATCCCAAAGGCAAAGTTGAAGTTACTCCTGTGTGTATCCCACACTTGAATGGCTGATTCACTCTATTTCTCAGTTTCCCATCTATAAATTGGAAAAAGAGTCTTGATTCCCTTTGTGATCTAAGGATGATATTAACAAAATATCTAGTATGCAACTTCTTGTTACCATGGACAGATTGCTTCTGGTATCCAAAATAGGTCATTCAGAACCAGCTTGTACAGATCAACACTGCCTTACAGGGAGTTGCCTAACACTAGCTCTGAATCACTCACTAACATCGGTCTCTGTTTATTATGTTAAAGTGATGGGCAGAAAGTATCTTTAATTTCCAAGATAATAGCATGTATGGTAAGTCATGGTAGGACAATGTCAGGAATATCTGGGAGAAAAAGCTAGAGTTCAGAAGACAAAGGGAATTGCAAATTGCCTTTCTGCAGCAGCTTCACACTAAGAAATGGAAGTACAAGTTGTTTTGATGACATCTTGAAGAAGGAAGGAGGTGAGGCAGAAATCATTAAGCTACCTGGCTGAAATGTTGATTCAGACCATCCAGTTTGAAATATTTACCACAGGCTATGCATTGCAAACAATTACTTCAATATTGCTTATTGGAGACCTGGGTTTAGACAAGGGACAAAGCATTATGTAGCTGTTTCATTTAATATCTTGTTCTTTCAGGCCAAGGAGGAGCTAGAGGTTGAATTCAAATTGGAAGATGCGTAAGTGATATAAAGGTTATTTTTAAAATGCAAAAAATCATAAAGTGATAAAACAAAGAAACAGAAATAGAAGTTATGTTCTGTGGGATTTCTGTAAAAGTGCCAGCCTTCTCGTACATCATTACTGCAGCCCTCAACACCCAACTGATTTATGCAGTTTTCAAAGATGCACCTACCAGTTACTCAGAGAGGCTGTGGATGCCCCATTCCTACAAGTGTTTAAGGCCAGGCTGGATGGAGGTCTGAGAAACATGGTGTAGTGGAAGGTCTCCCTGCCCAGGGCGGGGAGGTTGGAATTAGAAGACCTGTGAGGTCCCTTCCAACCAAAACCATTCTATGATTCTATGACTTGTTCACCTAAGGACATTTCAGAAGGCTTTCTGTGTGTGTGAACATTCATGTCTATCATTTTTTCCTAGACTGTTTCAGGTCATGTATTGGTCAGACTCCTAGTGTTGAACCATCCTTGTTAGGTTTCCAATGTCTCTCTGCTTCCTTTAATTTTCCCTTGCAGCACTATTTGGGTCCTAGCAATTCTGTTTTCTCTCTGTTCAACACAATGACAATGTGTAGGAAGCCCTAGTGTAAGGATCTTCCTCTAGCATGGTCAGCCTGCCACCCATATGAGTTAGTATTTTTGCCTCTGTGTTGCCACTAAGGCATGGCAGAAAAAAAGTGACCAGCTTAAGGTCAGTCCTCATATTAGTGGGGAAACAAGGCCAGAAATCAAGTCACTGCACACCATCTCCTCACTTCACCTGAATGATCAGAGAGCTTTATTTTTCCCCTATGTAATTGGTACCCACTGCCTTGTGTCCCTTTGAAACAGGCTCCCTAGGGAAGTGGTCATGGCATCAAGCCTGCCAGAGTTCAAGAAGTGTTTAGACAAAGCTCTCAGGCACATTGTGTGATTCTTGTGGTTGTTCTGTGCAGGGCCAGGAGTTGCACTTAGTGATCCTTTTGAGTCCCTTCCAATTCTATGATTGAATTATTTGCATACCTGTAAATACATATCACTGTCTCCACAACAGGGATATGCTGGTGTACTAGCATGCTACCGCTGAAATACATTTATTTTACATTTTAGAGTGAGAAGAATTTGAATGCCTAATCACAGATTCCATTTTAGATGCTCATGAGATTGCCCCACAAAAAAAAATATATGGTACACATTGCTCAGCTTTGGCATGGAGATGAGTCCCCTCAGAGCGGTGCTCAGTCCAAGCAAGCATGGAAAGGAGCTTGTTACATACCTGCCGGGGTCCCCTCAGACTGCCATTCTTCTAAGTGGGAAAAAAGAGCAACATCCTGGGCAAGGATGAGTGGGATTTCTTTGATCTGAAAAAAATCCATGTTTTTCATTTTGTTTCCCAGTTCTGGTCCTCATGAAGCCATTGCTACCAATGGAGTGCTGGTGGTATGTGTCTTTCACAAGATATTTTCTTTAATAAATAAATTTTGGTAATATAAAGGGGAAGGAAGGGTGAGGGTTAGAGAACTCAGTAGGCCAGTTCATTCTCTTTTTTCCCTCTTTGCTATTTAGATACTTTGAGAATGGGATGTTTTATTTGCTTGTTTGTTTTATTTATTTTATTTACCTGTTTATTGGTGATATTCCATTATTTCCTGTTTGTCCTATACTTACTCCCCCCCGCCCATATTTTCTCTGATACCAGTACTTCAAAAAAGGTACTGCTGTCTATCATGAAAAAAGGCTGCAAAGCCACTTGATGATAACTTAAACCTTTCCTCCCCTTGGAGATGAGGCATGCTCTGTGGGTAAGTTCTGCACTAAATATTGACCTATTGTATTTATATTATGTGAAAGAAGAGTGACTGCCCAAAATGTTAATAGAAATGCTTCTTCAGAAAACCCTTCCTACTACTGACTCTTGATCTCTCAGCAGCATATCTCTCTTTTAGCTTTTTCTAGTTTAACCCTTTGTGTTTATGGTACTGTCCTGAAAATATTCCTGATTTTCTTCCATTGTATATTCCTCTTACTGTGCTCAACCATATGGCATTACTGGAGGATGCCTACAACTCCCTCCAAAACTTTTCCTTTTCCTTAGTTAGTGTCTAATGGGAAAAAGCCCAGAAATGCCAGGGAATCAAGAACATGGCCAAAAGCTGAGAGATTCACACTTCTTCATAATGAGAATGGGATGTGGTGATCTTTCTCAGATTCCTGCACTGTCTTTCACAGTGTCGTGAACTTTGCTGCTTGGAAGTTGAAGTGGCAGAGAAGACAAAGCAAAAATCAAGTAAGTTAATTGGTTTTTTAATCTATTTACCAATAATTGCATGCTTACTGATGAGACAATACCCTTTTCATATATTGTATTAATGGAATAAATACTATTTGCTGTATTCAATGAAGTTAATGCCAGGTAAACACATTCAGTTGTTATAGACTCCAATGACTCGAGATGTATGTTAACAAGGCCTATTAGATCTGCATTAAAGTTGAAATCCCAGTTCTATATCACAGCAAGAACATTCAATCTGTTTTCTATGAAAATAGAATCTGCTTTGCTCCTTTGCCTTTGCTGTCAGCATTCCCTCCAGTGCACTTCCCACTGGACAAAGCTGTGGTCCAAATCCTACAGCTCTGCTACCTGCATCAAACTTATAATCAAGCCAACATAATTTTCTTGTTAAATCATATTAACATTTCTCACAACCTTTGTTTTGCTACTTTAGAGAAAGCACTTTCCCTCACTGTGAAGGGCTCCTTTGAGGGGACACAGGATGTCACACTGGGCCCCAATGGAGTGGTCAGCCCATTGTGTCCCATCAAGTTCCACTACATCAAGTATGCAGAGCCAACGCTGGATGTCATGTTACCAAAGAAGAGGCGCTACCACCCTGTATGTTTGAGTGGCCTCAGTGATGGAGTGATTATAAGTGTCTCTCAAGATAGTGGGAGGAGGGAGATAGGGTAAACCCATTACTGGTTTTGTCCTAAATCGTGTTGTTTTCCCAGTGGTCCTGTAAGTACAGTACAGAGACGGGCTCCCCAGTTGTGATGCTGAATTCACTGCCCATGGGAAGGAAAACAACCATTGCAGAGGTGAGCATCACTTCCAGGTGTTGGGAATAAAATGTCCCTCAGGTAGAAACCATTCCCCATAATGTTGTTCCAGATGGCTGCTAAGAGGATCAGGAATGTTCTGATTTTTTTCTTAGACTTAGAACAAAGAGGAGCTTTGTTTCTCCAGCTTTGTTCTCTGCAGAGGCAGGTTGCCACTCTATTCACCTCCATTATGTGACAGTAGTAGATACAGAGACCAACAAGAATGTCAGAAAATATGATGCCTTCAGTACGTCTCTCTGTGTTTACTCAAAGACTCACTGACCTCCCCTTTGTTTAGGACCCAAACTGAAAGTTGCTCATCAAACACAAGCCAGGAAAAGGACAATATATTAAAATATGTTGAAAATATTAGATATAGAGTATGTATTTTAAAGAATATAATGAGAATATTGCTCGAATATGACCATTGAAACAACCTCTCAGAACAGTGCACTTTTTGTCAGTTAATATGAAGACTGCAATAATGATTTTAAGACATGATGGAGTCTTGGCAGAAGCAAATGCAGACTTGCAGTCTCTTCACTGTGAGACTATGGCCAGGATGTCAAAGAAGTCCTGTGTATTAGAGCACAGAGAATAGGAAACACACCAAAAAAATGGCAATTCAGGATGCTGCAGAAAGCCTGTGAGTATTACAGGAAATGGAACCTACTGCATGAGTCTCAGGAACCTCCTGCACCAAGATTGTTAATGGTTTCTGCAGCCTGAAAGGATTTGGGATCTGTAACTAAGGATGTTCCACTAAGGGATGTTCCACTAAGAATAAGTGAATGCTTTTGGAAGCATATACTAAGATCTCTGACATTTAACTTTGTGATTGCCAGACCTTGTTGACGTCTAAACCAAGCTCTGACCCCAAGACAGAAAGGGAAAAAAGCAAGTTTAAAATTAAAATTTAAAAATTACAGTACACATTCTTGTTTTCCAGGAGAAAAGATTTGATTTGAATGTGAAAGCGCAAACCTGGTAAGAGATCTTCTTCTATTCCTTAAGACTTGATTTTGACATTGTTTTAGCCACATGGAAATGACACAAGCAAGAATTCTCAGTCTAAAAACTAGAATGTGCTTATAATAAAACATCAAATACATACAAAATATATGATACATAATTAGCCTTAGGAAGATTTGGCTTTCATCAATAAATATTGATAAACATGTATTTATTTTAGCATTATCCTCTTCTTTCTGACCACAGAATAATATCTTTGGTCAATGTCAGTCTCTGAAATTCACAAAAAGAACAAAGCTAGCTAAAAAACCCAAACACATAAATAACAATAGATAGGAGTAAACATTTAATTTAATCAGAAATTCTGCATTTTTTTCTTAACTGTCAATATTCAGTAGCAATAAACCTTGTATTCTGTTAAGTCCAGTTATACTATATATTGGACAGAAACTAAGGTAAACAATGTGGATCATGTTTTGACATCATTAATACTCTTCAGTAAACATGAAGATGCTTCATGCTATCCACAGCTATATATAATACACAGAACTGGGAAAACTAGTGATTTTGTGTGTGTGCCTAAGAAATAAAATGGGAAAATAACTTAATTTTGAATTCAGAGTTTTCTATCATTTCAGAAAGGCAAGTGATGAAAGACAACAGGAAACCCAGTGTTATTTCACAGCAGAAAAAACACTTCCTGCTTATTTATATTTTACCTTCAGAACTTTAGAAACAGTTTGTTTGTATCTTCATTGACAAGAGAAAACTTTTGCAGCTCCATCTAAATTCTCCTTGTGTGTCATTTACTGATAAGTTTGCAATAATTTGACTGATTTTATCCAAATCTGATGGTGGAGAAAGCTCATATCTACATTTCATTACTAGTTTCATTGAAATTAAGGGCTAAGTAGAAGAGAGAGGTCCTGTCACTGAAATAAAAAGAAAATCCCTGCCATTTGATAATGCCTGGCCAGGGCTAGCTGGCCAGACAGGCTGTCCAGGAGTGGCTCTGAGCTGACCATGACTGTCTCTTGCCCATTGATGTCTTGTAGCCAGGATTGAGGCTAGTGAGCAGAAGAGCACAAATGCCCAGGGAAATAAACTACAACTGTGGGGTCCTAAGGAATGACTTACTAAATTTCAAAACAGACACCAATGAAGTCTTCCTCTGGGAAATGTTGTGCCTTACAATTTTTGAGTCAAGGCTGATGTGAAATAGAACTTCCAGCGTTAACCCGTGAAACAATTTGTGCAAGTGCAGACACAAAAGAGCAGCGGGGCTGAAATCCTGCTCCAATAAACTCATAACCCATCCAGGGTCTGGATGTCACCAAGGCCCCTCCAGCGAGCTGGGTTCCTCGCTACCCATCCCAGCGATGCTCACCGCTAGAGGGAGATGCGTTCCCACCCCGGTTGCTCAAAGGAGAATTTCCTTCCCACTGGAAATGTCACATTTGAAAATTGGGGTTTATTTTAGATTTCAAATGAGAAAATAGCCCGTGAAATGGTAATCAATACACTCACTTTTGAATATTTGAGCGGGTTTTCTAAGCTGGTCAGTCTTTTTGGTTTTGGAAAAGTTATTTAATTTTTTTTTAATACTGTATATTGTTTCTTCATAAATTAGTAATAATGAGATATAATGTCATTGGTTAGGCTTACTAATTGATGTAAGTTTATTACTTTTAAAAATAGTTAGAATATTGTCTCCTGTTCTCATCACATTGTATCATCCTGTTTGAAGGGAAGGGTGCTGTAGATATTCTTCGAAGTCTTAAGATTGATATGGTGTGCTAATATTTAATCTATATGTCTGTTTTTATCTTAGTAATTGTTCATGCCACCAAGACCTGGACATGCGCTTTGGGTTTGACTTATGTTCAGAAGAGAGGGCTTTCCTGGGGAAAAGAAAGAAATATGTAGCAAGTGCCCTCAAAAATGTTTTTCACCTACCACAGGATCTGCAGGATCAAGAAGTACGTGTGTGTCAGGGGGATAGAACTTGAATCTCTAGTGCCTTCATGTACTCTTCTAAATGAGTGGCCAGCAAAGCAGGCCACATGTTTCTGTTGTGCAGATACCAGCTTGTCCGTGTGTCTTAAGTACATTTGCTTCTGCTGCTGAGGCTTGTTATTGCAAGAAATGCTAGTTGCAGTAATTGCATTCTTCATTACTGTCAATTTGGAATGTGCCAGATTTGAAGTGTGTTCATTCCTGCCATGCTATGCTATAAATGGCTTGGTTCAGCAATACTGAATACATTAAACAGCAAAGATTTCTTCCCTTGTTCAAATTTCACCTTTTGTGAAGGTTTAGAACAAACATCTCTGAGTGTTTCTTATATACTTCCTTTCTTGCAGTTTTGAAATTTCTTAAGATAAATATAATTTATTTAAAAGTAATCCGTAGAATTGGCAAAGGTAGCTTAATAACAGTAGCTGTGAAATGAGTGTATTTCTTCATGGGATTGGCATGCAGATTTTCATACAGTAGTAGTCAATGTGTGAAATAAAAAAGTGGCAAAGGAGTGGAAGATGTAGAGAAAATACATTGTTGTTTCCACAGAAGGGTTTCTTCTTGTTCGTCTGTGCCCCTATTTGCCCTAGAGGTAAGCAAGAACCCAGGTTTGGGTTAAACCCTGAACCCCTGTTTATCCAAAGGAAAGTGGCAGAAGAAGTCATTGCTTGGGTTTGAAGTCTTACCTTCTGAAAAGGGACCTGAGAGGGCTCTGAGATCAGGACCTGGGCTGGCTGTGGTGACCAGACCCCACTGCAGTTTGGGATACGATGTTGAATGCTGTCGGTGTGAACGTCCCATCCTCCCTCTGCTCAACAGGTCCCTGTTGTGGCTATCATCACAACAGGCGGAGGACTGAAGTCAATGACAGGATTGTACGGCAGTCTCATGGGACTCAAGAAATTAAATCTCCTGGACTGTGTAACATACATCAGTGGGCTGTCCGGTACCACGTGGTAAGCCACCTTATGCTTGACCAGGCCTTATGAGGGTGATGCTGTAGCTTCTAAAAGCAGACAAGCTGAGGAGATTTTCTTGAAACATCATAGAAACAAGCTGTTTCTCAGTAACAGATCATTAGCTTGATTTGATGCGCCTCTTTTTTTTATAAGCAATTCTGTACTGTGCTTATCAACTCCACATTTGCAGCAATTAAATGTACATATGATAATTAAACTTGTCAAACTATTTTCTAAGCAGTACTGTGGATGTAACTGCGGATGCCCATAGCATCAGGCCTCTGCTTCTCTCCACTGATGTTCCAGCTGTTGTGGTTCCCATTAACTTCTGAGACTGCCTCTGATATCTAACTTGTCAAGCAGAAAAAACCCTGCAGGACAGTGCACACTTACCCCTACAACCTGCTAGTTTGAGAAAGAACTGGGTTCCCATGGGCAGTGTTATTCCCTGCTCACAGGACCTACAGCTGCCTCATGTCTGATCATCCTATGTAGGGAAGTTTGGATATTGGTTGGGAGGTCTATTTTTAGATGATAGTGTTAAAATAAAGCATAGTGATATCATAGGATTAACACTAAGTGTATCAGAGCCAAAACACTAAGTGAATCAGACCCAAGATACAGAAGCTGGTGTGAAGGAATTTAAGGTTCTAAAAAACAAGCAAATAAAACTTATTATAATTTTCTGCCTAATTTGTGCTTCAGAAATGCACCAGGTGATTTATCCCTTAAGCTTCTGCCAGTTCTGTTTAAAAAAAAAAGGGTCAAGAACATAAAACCCCCACCTTATTCTTTGGGCCCATCTTTAAAAACAGCCATAGAAACACTGGAGTGTCCATTCTGCTGGATGGAGAAACAAAACCAGAGTCTATATGAGCAGAAGTGAATCCCTAAATGTAAAAGTCTGTTTCAAAAGCCACAAAATTTCAAGTCTTTTTTTCCTTCTTCTGACTTTTGCTGTCTGCATTATCTTTCTCCAGGACCATGGCCAACTTATACAGAGATGCCTACTGGTCACAGAAGGACCTGGAATCGCATATTGGTGAAGCCCAGAAACAAGCGACGAAATGCAAGATGGGCTGTTTCTCTATGGATCGCATGAAGTACTACAACAAGCAGCTTTGTCAGCGGAAAGAAGAGGGATACAGGACATCATTCATAGATCTTTGGGGGCTCATGATTGAGTATTTACTAAATGATGGGGTATGATGCATATTCCACTTCTCAGAGAATCATGTTTTTTTCCCTTAGTGGATGGTGAGGAAACTAGTCCATCATTTCAGAGAACATATCTCAAAATAGAGGGGAATTCTCCATGTTAACAAAAGACTAGATTTTCCAGTTTCCTTTAATAGTTTGCCTAGGGAGAAATGCATTCTATAAGTTAATAAATTAGGGTGTGGATGCAGCCATTTGAGCTCTGGCTGGTAAATAAATTGAAGTGGAGGCAATCATGGGAAATCCCTCTAAGATGCAAATTGCTCATGCAAAAAGAGTTCAAAATGCAAAGCAGAGTAATCTTGACAGTATGAAAACCACCTCAGACAGTCCTGAAACAGCTAGAGTACTTGGTGAATTGCATTCACTGAAGGTAACTTGATCTACAGGTACACTGGAGGCAAGTACATAGTTTGCTTTTGCTCGGAAGCACTACTTAGGTGGTTGAAATGATAGTAACTTTTATAAGCAATTTCAAATTTGCTTTTCTGTTACTTGAAGTGGTTTCCACTCCTATAGTACAGCAGTCTACTCTGTCTTCTCCCTCTTCTTGAACTGGATCACAGTTCAAGGGTGTGTGCTTTGGCACTTAGGAAGTGGGAAAGGGTGAGTGGTTTGAGGATGGAGCAGAAGTGTCCTCCAGTGGGGACAGAAACTCTGTAGTGATTCATTCATTTGAGTTTGGATTGGTTTTTAAAAAATATATAAGTACATATGTAGTATTACATATATATATGTAAATTGAATATAAATACATACAGAGAGGAATACTAGATATTAATCAAAGGTTTAAGCTAAATAGCTGCCTCTCTTTTACTCTCAGCTAAATGAGGTCCCCTCATAATCCAGTCAAGCGTATTTCCCTGTGAGATGCGCTGACTGTTGCTATATAACCATTAACCATTCCATAATCTTCCAGAACCACCCACAATTAAATTGGTCAGCACTTCAAGCAATTTTATGATTTTTATAAACCTTGTCAATGAGAATATGCTTTATCTATCAGAAAGAAGCTGAGTGGCATGCATATAATTTGCTGACAAACTCCAGTCCCCTTGCAAGGCTGGACTGTGATAGCTGTTGTGTACTAAGAAATGAAAGAGT